TCTACGTGCAGAAATCAAGCAAGATAAAAATGGCAAGAGCCGAGGGATGGGAATTGTCACCTTTGAACACCCCATGGAAGCAGTACAAGCTATCTCTATGTTTAACAGCCAGACTTTGTTTGACAGAGCTATGGTTGTACGCATGGACAAAACCAGTGTGGATACATCAAATGACAAAACTTCACACCCCAAATTTAATTTGCCCAGTGGTTTGAAATCAGTTGGTATGGGCTTGGGTCTTGGTGGTCAACCAATGCAGAATTTTAATCAGATGTCAGGTGGTGGACAGATGGGAGGTGGATTTGATGGTGGAAGTGGAGGAGGTTCTGGTGGTAACTATGGAGGCAGGGGTGCCATGGGAAGGGGAATGAGTGGTATGGGAAATATGGGTGGTGGCCCCATGAATAACTATAGTGGCATGAGTGATATGGGAGGAGGCATGGAGGCAATATGGGAGGAGGTATATGTCAGGTGGTATGTTAGGTGGTACAAACACTGGAATGGGTACTGGCATGTCAGGTATGGCAGGCAAGATGAGTGGTGGAATGTTGCCGGGCAATATGGGCATGTCTGGTATAGCAGGTATGACTGGAGCTACCAACATGGGCAGCGGAGCTGGTGGTATGGGAGGTGGAATGGGTAGTAACATGAGTAGTGGTATGGATGATGGTTATGGCATGGGTGCAAATAACCTTGGACCCAAGGACTTTGGCTCAAATCAGGGAATGGGTGACACCTTTACCAGCAACATGAGTAAAATGGGTGGCCTTGGAAGCATGGAGGCCATCAAACCTGTTTACTTGGGTTATTTAATGGGAACAAAGAGGAGATTGAACGAACCTGCAACATAGAGGTATCAAAAAGCAAATTGATGCCACAAGCCATAGGCTTGTCAGACGGGGTGTGGGCGGTAGCGTTGGAGACAAATTTAGATTTGTCCCAGGTATGCAAAGGGAGGCCAACACTAACCATTACAGCCACCCCGCCCCTATCTATCATAAGCTTACCTATGGGGTGCACAGCCTTCGGCACGTATTTCACACTTCCGCCTTTTTACCAAGCGGAAGAGAGATTTGAATCTAGAGATTCTTTCCTTGCTCTCTCAAACATCTCATCGGCTCGTTGGACAGACTTGTGGACACCTCTCGTTAGAACATCGTTGAATTTTACTGCAAGGAAACTTCCACAACTATTAGAGAAAATAGAAAGAATCGATTTACAAGACTTAGTTGATCAACTAGAGACGATAGATGGGGAGGCTCTTCCCCAGGGGAGTTGGACCACTAAATCTGTAGCCTTGTTATCAGTTGGGGGATGTATTTTGGTGGGGATAATATTAATGATAATTCAAGTAGTTTGGGGAAGGCAGTGGTTAAAAAGATGTAGAAGAATTATGCCGGCGAGAGGACTGAATAGCAAAAAGGTGGATCACCTGTTGATACCACGGAGTCCCAAGGGACAGAGAACCCTGAAACTGATCCACTGATCCTGAGAAAGGAACCCAGGCAGAGGAACGGTTGCAACTAACAGCCGTACGATTGGAGGGTAAAAAAAAAAAAAAAAAAAAAAAAAGCAATTAACGGCCTAATGGACAGGGTGCTCCGATTGGAGGTTAAAAAAAAAAAAAAAAAAAAAAAGAAGTGATATTCCATATTCCTCTTCCTTTTAATGGACAGGGTGCTCCAGGAGCATGCACATACAGGAAAAATGTGTGTACTTAAAAAAAAAAAAAAAAAAAAAAAAAAAAAAAAAAAAAAAAAAAGAGGAAGGGAGAGAGCAAGAAACAACTGTGCTCGAAAAAAAAAAGAGATAATGATGATGAAAAAAATATTTTTGAGAAAAACAGAAAGAAACATTTTAGAAACATTTATTTTTTTGTTGTTGTTCTGTTTAAAAGAAAAAAATGTAAGAAAGGAAAATGGAATAGGTTTGGAGAACTTTAAACAGTTGAAAAAGAGACTGATAATGAGGAACAGTTACATCGCTTCTATAATTAAGCAGTGGACTTGCTCAGAGTTATGTCTATTATATTTGTGTTATTTAATTTTTTTTATTTTTTTTTGGGGGGGGGAGAGGGTGGAAACACTCCTCTCTCTTGATTTTATTGGGTAAACTGTGCTTCAATTATTCTGTCGGGCGCCATTGACCCCATTGGGAGGGGGCGTCCTCAGCAAACTTCCATCATGACGGAGCAGGAAGGCTCAGGGATTTGTGGCTTATCTTTCAGGGCTGGTAACAGGAGTTGAATTGACCAAGAGTAGAATCTCTTCTAGAAATAAAAGGGAATGGATGTAAATCGGAAAGCAAAACTTTAAGTTGGGAAAGGCGTTCATTAACGAAGAATTGACATTCAAACGTAGCGATAAACCAACTGCGTGGATTCATTGATGCCACCAGCTACGAAGACAAAATTGATGAATTGGTTGTGAAAAAAAAAAAAAAAGAAAAATGGGTTGAGGAAATACAAAGAATGGTAAATAATGCCAAATTGATTAATAAAAAGTTCATAATTTGGTTATGGAGGGGAGGAGAATACCCTGTGGAATCAAAATAATTTTTGTGGCGATGGCGTGCCGACCTGAAGAAGCATCGTGTCATGATTTTATTTTTTTGTTTATTGTAATTTATTAACATAAATGACAAGATCCGTTGGGGAGGTAATGTGACACGATAACTAGGCGTCTATTAAAGTTGATTTGTAAAATATGTATTTTATTTTAATAAATTAAGAATAGAAAACGGTTAAGAATAGAAAAATAGTTTAAAAACATGTGTTTCGTTTAACAAAAGTACTAAGGGAAAAAGAAAAGAAAAAAATAAATAAATAAACGCTTTTTCTTTTATAAGTAAATTTGTGGAAGAGAAAAGGGCATCAGATTAGTCATCCAATAAAATATTTGACTAAGTGATTAGATGTGATAAAAGATAAACGTTTAGGAAATAGATTTTAAATGACCAGGTCAAAAAAACCCTCTTTACTGTATCTCGGCAACATTAAGGAAATAAAGAAAAGATAACAGAATCTTCCCTTTCTCCAGGCAATAAAAAAAAGAAAAGGGCTATAAAAATATCCGACGGCCTTCACACGAAGATTTGTTAAGATAAAAAGATTTAAAAGTCCTGGAAAATACATCGTGGGAGGCCGATTACAGACAAGGATTTTTACACATCAAAGAAAGCAAAATTTAAGTACCTTGAAATTTTTAACTTACAGTCGCCAATGCTTATCTTTTGTTTTCACCCGGTGGTCTAGGGACTTCCGATTAATTCAATATAAATACGAGTGATTTTTCCGAGCCGGGCAGTTCAGCCGGGTGTGTGCTTGAAGTAGCCACGTGTGTCAGGCACACTGAAGAAGTGAAACTCCGTTCGTCTGAGTCGGTCGGTTCGGCATTTGATCTCCATTAGTTAGAGTTAGAGCTGAGTGTCACATCGCCTACCCCAACGGCAAGACTAAGTCTGAACAAAATAAAGCTTGATTAAACTCATCTAAGTTGTGGAAGTTCGTTCCTTCAATGCTTTATCTTGTGCCCCTTTTCAGTGACGTTATAGCATCCAGATGGCTATTGTTTGTACATGGAATTATTCACTGGTAATTAATCTTCAATTTAGCTGTGGAAAATGTCACTTGGCGGTTAGCAATAAGAAATTATGCCCAATTTTCTGAGAAAAATCACCGTTTTTTATGAAAAATATTTATTTTCACTTTAACTTCATCCCTTTCTCTTTCATTTGGTGTGAACATCATTGAATAAAAGGAACGGCTAAATGGCGCGGCGATGGGAAATATGAAAGATATGCGGTGAAAAAAAACAATGTCTACTAAGTGTTGTTGTCATCACCGGGTTCACGGGGTGTTAAAAACAAAACAAAACACATCAAGCCATTGTTCAAACATAGGTTATATCAAGCCCTACTAATGTTGACCCTTTTTTTTCACTCTTTGCTTTTATCTGGGAGTGGTGGGTTTTATTATAACTTGTTTAAGCATTTATTACTGGTTGGCTGACATTTGACCCAGAGATGTCAAAGTCAATTTGGTTTAATTTTCCTTATTGCCGCTATTTTTTGGAAAACTCTCAATTTTATGCCTGAAATAGTTTGATTATGATTTAGGCTTTCTGATTCCCCCCCCCCAAAAAAAGAAGGTTAATTTCCCATTTTTCAAATTCCTTCCAATCACTGTGGTTACCATCTAGCTGACTCTTCACACATTAAGAAATATCCCAGTTAATTAGAATAGGGATATAGTAGCAATTTCAAATAAAGAGTTGGGAAGAACGCAGATGGTTAAAATGAAAATAGACGACAGGTGATTGAACACCTGTCCTGTACCAGAGTCCTCACATTACTGCTACTGGAATTCACATCATTCGCCGAGACCTCCTGACCAAGACCTTGTGCCAGCCCTGAAGACCAGAACTTAGAAATTTAAGTTACTATTAAGACAAGCTGGAAGTGGAAAGGGTTAAAACTGCTGTATAAACCAAATCATCATTACATTTTTAACCCAAGTTAATTCTTTATGCCAAAGGATTTTTTTGTTTTGTTGATCTGTCCTTTACTTCAGTTTATTTTATCAGTGATTTTTCTCACTCTTTGAGATCAAAAACATGGCAAAGGAGTGAAGGATCATGAAGGAGACAAACGCCAGATAAATCAAGTGGAACTGTGTTCATCAACACAATACCAGCGACCAATCAGAAATGCATTAATGAATGAGGGGTCAGCTAGATGCTAACCACAGTGGTTGGAAGGAACTTGAAGACCAACGTGGGCAATGGTGTCACATTATTGGTACCATGACCAGGAAAACCAGCAGTAACTTAGAAGATAATAACTTTTTTCTTTTTTTTTTTTTACGAAAAATAGTAACTGGAAGAGAGCAGCCCTCAGGAACACAGAACCCAGCCTGAGCAAGTTGTGAAAATATAGGCAGGAATAAGAACCAAGGAACTTTAATCATTTGCCTATTCGGTTCTGAAAGTGCATGCAACATATCAACCTACCAGGGAAAAACGGCTACATTTTTTCCCAAATACATTCCAGTTTGTAAAACAAATTCTTTTGTTACCTGATATCACTTTTGTTTGATTTCCAGCATGATAAAACTTTCTAATCTCTCCAACAGAAATGCTGCCTTTCTTAGCTCCTCCCATTTTCTGGTAAGTCTATAAAGAAAGAAATTTAAATTATCTGCTCAGATTTATAAAGACAACATTTTTTTTTAAGACTATAAATCATTATAATTTATTAAAAATAGTAGATTTATGTTGTAAAAAGATTGATTTCTGTTGGCCAATACCAAATTTAGTCCAAAGAAACAGGCAAACGAGAATTGCAAGACCAGAATGTCCAGTCTTGCACAATGATTGGATGCTGAAGGATACAGTGATTATTTCCATGGAAATTTTTACTCTTTGAAAAATGAATTCACTGACCTTACGTACAAAGTCTTTGCGAAATTCGTTCATTTCCCCAATCACGGCTAACATGTACAAATAGTAATCCATAGAATCTCTGTCTTTGTCTGTTATGGCTTCAAATAACTTGTCTAATGTCTGCAATAAAAATAACACAAAAATGAAGGAATAAAACTGGAAACAATAAAAACAAAAAATAATTATAATAAAAGGATTTTTAAATGAATGCAATAATATGAAGATGCTGTACAATAGTTGTGTTATTTAATAGCAAAACTAAATGTGTCTTTCACTATAAGATTAAAATGAGGTAATTACTTTTATTTCATTAAGATTATGACAAATTTTCAGCCTAAACGACTTCACAAAATCTGACCAAATATCAATCTTTTTTTTGAATACCAGAATATCAGCACCTTGTATATATATATTTAAAAAAAATATTAATCTTTCATTTTTAGCTTTGTGATAATGTTTATCAAATGTGTGTCTATTAGCCGAGATTTTACAGCAATAATGAAAAATAAATTTTACTGAGAGTTACTGACTATCCACCAAGTTCAACTTTATTTACTCACTGTTTGTGGCAAATCAATATGAAATTCTTGAAGGCCTTCTTCAAGATCAGACTTGGACAGACAACCATCTGGGGCTGATAAACGATGACATACTTTCCTATAGTGCTGGCCAAGTCCTGTCACAGTACGGATGCCACGCTTTTTTAACTTATGATGCACAGTTTCTGATAAAAGAATGATGAACAGTGATAAATCAAGGAATATTTTTAAAATATGTAAATCCAAAAAAAAAAAAAAAAAAAAAAAAAAAGATAAAATTCAAGTGAGCAGGATTTCTTTTCCCATTATTCTCTTTTGTCTATTTTCTACTGTTTCTTTTTTTTTTTTTAAATGTTTTATTGTTAAATATGAGAAAGAAAAATAGATTATGCAACAAAATTGAAAGATTTTATTTTATTTTTTTTGCAACTGGGTAAGCAGGTCGACAGTATTTCTTTTATTGAAATGTGTGCTAAATATTTAATTGTAGATATATACAAAGTTTTAATACTTTGTGTGTGGGTGTTTTTCTAAAAATTATGAAATAAATCAGTATTGAGAAGTTGTAATTATTGATCAAGCATCTCATGGCTTTCATCATTACTACTAGGCAACAGCTGTCAATGAATAAAAAAAATATTAGTACATTTAAGTGATGCATATACACTGATGGAAGTCCTGTTCAGATCACTACATTCATAGTCCATTTTTCTCTCTTTAAAAAGAGAGAAAAATTTTATCATTGGGATTGACAACAATTTGTTTTTCTTTTTTGTTTCTGAAAAGCACTAATAGCTGCAGACCAAATTAGTGAACATAAATACCAACCAAATATTGAATGAAAAAAATAAAAATGTAAAGAATACCTAAACAGGAAATAAAAATAGTGAATTCTGACTGATGGTACAGGTACATGATATACAAACATACTTGCTGGTTATTTAATAGATTTATTTAACTGGAATTTAAAATCATTACTTGGTTTTCACTCAGCTTAAATTCTTGTAATTTTGGGATAAAGTAATGGGAAACATGAATAGTCTTAAGTGAAAAAGAAAATAAAAAAAATGTTATGTACTCTGAACTTCTGCTAACAAGATCATTTTCTGTCTGTCAATTTCATGTTGTGGAATGTGCAACTTGGTATACACTTGTTGCTGGTCAGAAAGTCTTACACCAGATAACCTGTAAATGAAATCAAATTGAAATGAAAGAAAAATTGTCTGCTAAAACAAATTTATCAATTTATTGGATTTAAAAAGAAAATACTTTTTTTTTTTAGTATCTGTTTTTAAATTTTAAATTCCTTACAAAATTATTGTAGCATTACTATAACAAACTATTAAATGCAAAGAAATTAAATGTAAATGTTGTCAAGAGGTCAAAAGTTTAACATTTATGGCTCCCTGGTGACCACTGGTTGTACTACAAATGTAAACACAAATCTTGATTTTCCAGTGATTGAACAGTTTATAGGAAGAAAAGTCATAGATAAAAAGGAGCATAACCTTGTCTAATAACTTAAACAAAATGATAGACACAAAGTAAGGGTCCAATTTAGCATTATACTTGCATTGTAACTTGCTAAAAACTTAGTTTTAGAATGTGCTAAAAACATGGCCCAGTGTTCCATAAGCAAGCATAGAAAATTTGGAAGTAAAGTCAGCTTTAGTTGTTTTGGAGTTGTGCAAAAAAAACAAAAAAAAAAAAAAAAAGACATTTAGTGAATTAGAGTAAAGTAGCTGAAAAAAGATAATACTGATAAAGAAGAATTATTCCATAATATTGTTTAGATTATTGTCTTCATCTATGATGTCTTAATAGCTAAGATGCTATATACTAGAAGTATTTAGAGCCATTTATGGATTATTGGCTATAGCACATAGAAACTTCAAACTTACTCACAACAGAAGTAACTAGACAAAAGCTTTCGTGGTGATAGAGAAATAAATAAATAAAAACAAATAATAACAAGAAAGCCAAAATTTAACCATCTCTAAAAATAGACAGATAATAAAAATTGCCAGGTAAACAAAGTCATAGTTCAACCAACTAATCAGAAAGCTTTCATAACCAGGATATAGGCCATGAACCAATGAGAAGCAGAGCACCTTTTATGAAGTGCATCTATCTATCTATATATATATATATGTATATAAACAAATGAAAAATCAACCAAAGCTAGAATCAATAAATAAATATTGTCTATTTTCCAATGCTGCAGTCATTGTAAGATACCCAGAGATGAAATACAGCATTTGCACCGTTAGCTGGTGACCTTAAATGGTTAAACCATCCTGTTACATTGAAAACATATACCTTCCTTCACCCACATTATTAATAAAATGGCTAACACATTTGGATACAAACATACATTTACTTTCTCACAGACATTTTCTGTCTATTTCTCTTATATTCCAGGAGTTTTACACTTGAACTCTTGAAACTTCAACTTTCACTTTATTCTTCTGTATTTTTTTTTTTTTTTAATCGAGTTCACCCCAAACAAGGTAGTAAGATACAAGGGGGGGGTTACTGGGTGTGGAAGAAACAGAAACAGTACTAAAGAGTGAGAACAAAACAAGAGGACAGTAGATAGTGATTGTAAATTTTTGAAGATTAAAGTTGGCTGTAAAGCATGGAGCTAGAAGGGCATTCCACAAGCAAGAAGAAACTAAATAGCATAAAACTTATGGTTACATCTAGCCAACTCAACTGAAAATTGATGAGATCTTGATGACATACTAGTACTGCGCTTAAATATTCAAAAAGTCTAGGCACCATAATGAAGAACTCATCTGAACATGTTTCTAGAAAAGACACAGAGAGGCAACATTATGATAGAATGTGACTGAAGCCAAGATGTCAAATCAGGATCAATAATATTGCTGATTCTCCTTTGGATTTTGTCAAGGAGCTCTAAATAAATGTAAAAATTGTCTCACATGACACAGTGAACCAACTTTTTTATCAGCAGACTCATCAATGAATTCAATATAGTTTTTCCATTGCATGTCAGCTGAGAACGTTAGCCTGAGAAGGTGCAATGAGTCACATTGCTGGAGGATAGCATCAGCCATGCTGATGGAAGACAGACAAGGTTCTCTCAGATGATTAATGGAGAGCAGTTTAGTTTTGGAAGCGTTAAAATTAGTAAGCCATCCTTTTCCCCATTTAACAACAGACTGTAGGTCATTTTTTTACATCAGCTGCCAATTTGATCTTAGTGAACTGATTAGACTTTCTATTGAGACAGGAGTAAATGGTTGTGTCATGAGCATAGATACCAAGTTGAGAGCTGATGTCATTGGGGAGGTCATTAATGAAAATTAAAAACAAAATAAGACCAAGGATGGAGACTTGGTGGGGGGATACCTTTATTAATATGGAAAAATCTAGAAGATTGGCTGTTCAGAATAAATTTTATTTCATAATTTCATGTGAAAGATTGGATCAGTTGAAAAATTTGTTTAGAGACACCATAATTGTTCAAGTTGTAGAGAAAATCTGTCAACCAAATTATGTGTTATATAAAGATTTATTTTTCATTTATCAACACTTTGTGCATTTTCTTTTAATCACAAGCCAATATACACAGAAAATCAATTACAATGGTATATGGTGGGATTATAAGTTGTTATAAATTAAATAACTCTTCCATAACAGATAACCCTTATAACTATTGTAGTTTCAATATGACCCATTGTTATATTCTTGCTGCAAATACAAGACCTTAATATTCGATCATATGATTCTATTATCGGACTGGAATATTCTAGTGAAAGAGATAAAAAAGGAAGAGAAAAAGAATGAACTCTGGTATAAGGAAAAAATAAATCTCAAAATGTTTGAAAGTATTAAAACTTACAAGACAGCAGACTTTTCTTTTTCTGCAACATCTGTGACACGGAAAATAACCTTTGGTTTATTTTTTAGGGTATCAGGTAAGCAGGTTTGATTTTCTGTACTCAGTACCAAATTGGATCCCTGAGAAACAAATATTCATTATTTACATTTCTTATAAGCATTTATAAGAGAAAATATAATAATAATAAAAAGGATTGTATAGTAATCAAGTAATACTGGATCATATTATTTTTAAAGAAATTATTGTTGATCTCTACTCCAGATGTCCAATTGACAAAAAAAAAAAAAATGACCTTGAATTTTATATTTCATCCAATTGAGATTTTTTTTGACATTATTTTCATTTAATGACTTTTTGGCTGTAATATAAGGATTAAATATAAATTAAGTTTTTTATTCTTTTTTCATGAGAGATTTTAGAGAATCTAACACTTACAGGTATCCAATTTTTCTGTTAAACTTCAGTTGTCCACTTCAATACAAATTTATACAATCTTTCCATAAGACATTGAGTCAACTTTGTTTTATCAACTTATGAATATTTATAATTATTCATAAACATAATTATTAATATTTATAAATTTCAATTTACAAGTCCAGTTAAAAAGAATAAATTTTAGAACAATAATAAGTATTGCTAAATCAAAATTCATTCTTTGCATATACTGTTTACATGTTATTTTGTAAATATTTTTCAGTTACAGTAGGAATTTGTTTATTTTAAAGAGTAATTTATTTTTAATAACTAATGCACAAGTTTTTTGTTTTAATAAAACAGATTTTGAAGGAAGTCATTTTTATAGTTACAGGGTATATGTTGCATAATGTATAATGTTGACTGGGAGTGGTTGCTTCTGGAGGACAATATTGACCTTTCTTAATGAAGGGCAATGCTTTGGAGCTACAAAGAGAAAAAATGCAAATATGTTAAGAATTGAGATTTGAGTAATGTTTGGAAGAATTCAAAAGAAAATATTTTCAGAGTACTCACCTTTTGCCAAATTGACGGAATTCATAAATTGTCAAAGTGTTGTCAACATAAAAGAAGAATCCAATCAGCTCTCTGAGAGCATCATGGCCATTGCTAATGATGAAAAAGAAACAATTCATTAAATTTAATATTGACAAGAGTCTTAATGGATATATAATATGTAAAAGTTGTTCTGTGTACAATTGTGTCTCTGTCAATGTTTATATAGTAATATAAAAATAAAAGATTAAATTTTGTAAAGGAAATTTTCATATTTAGGCTATTTTACTTCACCATTGCAAAGAAACATTTTGGACTAAATTGTATATAGCAACAGATTCTGGAGAAAATCATACTTATTATAAAACCCAGGTTGTGTGTGTGTGTGTCTGTTCGTTTATATATTGGATCGGATTTCCTACATTTTTCAACTGATTTCAACAAAACTTCACAGGACTACGTAAAATTACCTTGAGGTGGTTCTGACAGTGCCAAAATTCGGAATAACACAATTGTTTTTGCATGAAATCAATTTGAAGACACGATTAAGAGGCATCACTGTTGCCAGAATGAAAGGGAGACAACTCATATCGAGTTATACTTATTATAAAACCCAGGTTGTTGTGTGTGTGTGTGTGTTCGTTTATAGATGGGATCGGATTTCCTACATTTTTCAACAGATTTCAACAAAACTTCACTTTTTTTTTGGCAGGTAGTATTTCTTATTGTCTTGCACACTTTTTTCTTTATTTTTACATTCAGAATGCTTTAAAAATTCCATTTACAAGACAATTGTTTATAATAAAATTGAAAAATTCTATTCAATCGGTAGACTCATAACGATTGAAAACAATGTTTTTGTTTGAGTTTGGGTTTGACCAATTCGTAAAAAAAAACTCCAAAAAACAAAACAAAGAAAAAAAAAAACTAATTAAGACATGCATGTTCGTCAACCTTAATCAATAATCTTTGTCAATTTTATTTTTCAGTCTTTATGATGGTGGATACTTGATCTATCTCTTACTGTTATATCCCCGGGCAACGCCGGGCTCAACTGCTAGTAACAGTTAAATGAGAAGTAATCTTTGCAATCATAATCTTTTTACCTGAATAAAGTTCTTTTATCCTGAAAAAATATTGTGTTATGTTCTTGAAAATAGGGTTGAATGCTATTAGTTCTCTATTAAAGGCATTTTGATAATTTAACAAGCCTACTTCAGTGGAAGCCATCTTGTTTTCTACACTTTCAGTTTTAGTCTTTTTCAAATCTTTAAAATCAAAATATTTGCATTCTTTTTATGGAAACGTTTCTGTGTGTATTTTCAATTATTGTTAGTTCTATTTGAACAGAACAGCTTTAATAAAAACATTGGGGGAAGAAAAAGAATCATTAGACTTAAATTGTTTTTGTAATGACCCAAAAAGACAAACTTGTTGCTAGAATTTAAAGGTGAGAATATAATTTTAATAGTTCTGTTAAGGACTTGTTTGATGTAAGAATTCACAAAAGGAAATATTTTATGCAGTCACTGAAGAAATTTATTTTGTGATTATGAATTGAATAAAAAACATATTTTGTAACAGATTTCCATATTTTTAACTAAATCTAAGAATTATGACATTAACAGAAAAAGAAACAATATATCTACAATATATCTACAATAATATCTGCAGTACTGTTGTGCAATATAAGAAACCAGTTTGGAAAATATCAACAATCAATAATGGTATCAAGTATTATGTTTTTAAGTTAAAATTAGAAAAAAACGTGTTGAATTTGTAATTACTTGAGAAAGAAAAGAAATTTATATGATTAAAAATATCTTTAAGTAACTCTGTGCTTCGATAATTAAAGAAAGTGGTTGACAAAAAGTAATATGTACTTTTTAAAAATGCTAATCCCATTATAAAACAATTGAAAAAGTAAATTTTGAAATGTAAACATATACCCCAATTTTTTTTAATCATTTCATTTCAAGCAAGCCACTAAAATGCAAGGGGTTATTGAGTGTGAAAGAATATGAAAAAAAGAAACCATTATTAACAATAGAAAACAATAAAAAAAAAAACAGGAATTAAGAAGACAGAAGATAACAATTGACATTGCATTTAAATTTTTGGTGATCAAAGTTAACTGAAAAGTAAGAAGCTGGAAGAGAGTTCTAAAAGCAAAAAGTGCAAGAGAAGAAATTGTCAGCATAAAACTTATGCTTACATCTAGCCATTTCAACAGTAAAATGATGAGACCTAGCTGCCAATCTAGTACTGTGTTTAAATTCATAAAGTCTAGCTACCAAAGAGGAACACTCATTAGAACAATTATCATGGAAACATTTATAGAAAATGAACAGGGAAGTTACATTGGAGTGATGGAAAAGTGACTGAAGCTGAGATGCCAGTTTAGGACCAATAACATTGCAGATTCTTCCTTGTATTTTATCACAAATTTCTAAATAGAGAGCAGAAGCACCAAACCAGATGTGACAGCAATATTCAATGCATGGATGAAAGTGAGATTTATAAATATGTAAGATAGATTTTGGCAAGAAAAATTGTCTAGACACGACACAGTGAACCAACTTTCCTAGCAGCAGACTTAGCAGTTGATTCAATATAATTTTGTCCACTTCATGTGGGCAGAAAACATTAGCCTGAGAATGTGTAAGGAGTCCCTCTCTTGGAGGCTAGCATTAGGCAGGCTGATGGATAACAAATATGTTTTCATTTTATTAAAAGGGAGTAATTTTGTTTTAGAGGCATTAACATTAACAATCCATTTCTTGCCCCACTTGACAACAGATTGTATGTCATTTTCTAGATTAGCTGCTAATTAGAGTTTATTGAACCTATTATTGACTTATCATTAAGACAACAGTAAATAATTGATATCGAGGAAGATCATTGATGAAAATTATGAACAATAGAGTTCCAAAGATAGAGTCCTGGATACGGACACACACACACACACACACACACCTAACTTTCATTTCCTGATTTGATAAGAAAGATTGAATCAGATCAAAAATTCCATAAACTTTCAACTTGTAAAGAAGACCAGCATGCCAATCCCTGTCAAATGCACGAAGGTGAGGCATGAGTAGCTTAACCAATTCAGAGTTGATTAGAGCCTCTAGTACTTTGCATAAAAGATAGTAGAAGGCTAATAGGCTGGTTGAAGGATCAGATGGTTTGCTTGAGTTTTTAAAGATCAGATATCTTGAAAGAATTTGACAGAGTTTTGAAGAGGATTTCCAACAAGCAGGAAAGCAAGAAGCAGCAAGGCATTTATTGTAGAATTTAGAGTGAACAGGAGACAATTCAGGAGTATATTTCTTAAGGACTATTGCAAAGATACCATCAAGTTCACATGCTTTGTTTAGAGATGATATCAGAAAACATGGATAGAGTTATATGTATATCACTCAATAAAGAGTAGAAATGGAAGTGAATTTATGAGCAAAGAATTCTGCTTTATCAGCAGAAAATGTTAACACCTCAAATTGAGTAAGGAGGTGGGGGGGAATAGAAGACCTACTCATATTTAGCATATTATTACAAAGTTGCCAATAGTCACAAGAACCAAATTTGTTAGAGGCTATACAGTGCCTCATTCAGCAAATAAAAATTTAGCATCTTTCAGTACATGTTTATAATTATTGCAAGCAGGCAGAGGTGTCTATTGTAATTGGAACTATCATGTTGGTACAATTGGAAAAATGATTCCTATGGGCTATAGGGACTAAACAGGCCGGTGTGAACCAAGGAGAAGATTATGGTATTTCTAAGAAGGTACAAAAAAATCAATGCTGGCTTTAACCCAAGAAGAAACCTCAGTGGCACAATTCTCAATAGAATGGTTAAGAATATCAATCTAAGGGGTGTCTTAAAGAAAGTCATGAAATGAATCCCAATCTTTATGCTGGTAACAGAAAGAAGTCTTGTGAATAGGAAGTTCCTTTCTAATAGACAAGTCAAAAGAAATATCGACAGATACTACAGCATGATCCGAACTGCCAAGAGGACAAAGTTGAGATGCTTGACAAGAGCCAGGAGAGGAGTTATGGAACACTGATTATTATAATGAACATTTGTTATATTTCTTTTGTATAAATATAACAAATCAATTTAATCCAAAAAATCTTTATTATGCTTAATAATGATTAACAGAAAATAGAGTTTTTGTCTGAATTTCTGTATTTAGAAAATACATTTCAATATTTTTCTCTTAATAAAAAAGTTCTTATAAAGCATAATCAGATCTGTTCAAAACGGGTTAATTTAAAAATATTAAATGATGATCGCATAATGTACTGCTTAGTTTTAGTTGAAGTGATAAGAATAAAAGAGGAAATATATTAACAGAGGAAGCTGTTTCACAAGTTTCATTCATCTTTGTTGGCCTTTTGCTTGATATCTGTACTGGGCATTTGTTCTTGTCAATCCATTAAACTTGTTTAGAGGGACAATATTTCTTTAAACATTAAAAAGTTGCATTTTAAAAAGTGAATAGCTAAACATCTTTCAGCAAATGTTAGCAGTTTCATTTTTGAAGATATATTACACCAACAAAATTGCTTTATATATTGGATGAAAATAAATAAACTCTAGAGAATAAAGAAATGTTCAACATTCAGTGTTATCTAACATTAGTACATTGTATTTAGTCTATTCCAAGTATTCTGTTTCCAACTGAAATTCCATTGCTGTTAAATAAAACTATCTACATGTATAAATTTATCATAGACACATGCAAAAAAAGTTTTAATAAAAATTATAAAATGACTTTAAATATCAATATAAGTAATTGGCTGTTTTAATTTACTTTAATTATTTTACTACAATGAGTATTTTGGTGTTTAGTATTGGATTATGCAAGTTTTATAAGAAATAGCTCATGAAAATCTTCTAGTTATACTTTCTTTTTTTACATATGTCAAAATCTTAACATGTACTCAATTGTTATTTGATGTAGCTCCAAAAAAAAAAAAAAGACACATATGTAGATTAATGCATATGAAGTTCTATTTATTAGCATAATTACATATAATATAAAAGAGAAGGAACTAAATATTTAACATAATATATGTTTTCATTTTAAAAGTCAATTCATTTGAGAATTAAAAAAACAAAAACAAAAAAACAAACTTTGTTAACTTTTCATAATATAACTGTACCCATTTATATGCAATGCTTAAATTCTTACCGTGTCAATATTCTTACTCCAAACCTAACTCTTTTGGAAAGTAGGTTTTCTGTTGAGGAACCATGAGTCTGGATGCTGGGAAGGCAAAAGAAGAAGAAGAAGCATAAATGTAAAGCACCCTATTAAAAGATACACAGATTTTGGAATGTGTAGTACAAGATATTTTTTTTCGGGAAAAACTTCTTGATTCTCTGATTTCACATTTTGAGAAATATATATATATATATATATATATACAGATTTAAATGCAAAAGTTTTGGGTCAACAACATTAATTTTATTAAGATAAGATTTTTTAGTGATTTGCTTTTATCAATAGTATGTGTGGACCTTCAGAATTAGAAAATAAGTTGTTGCACTTTCATAAGTGCCATGTAACAGAGGCCATACTATCCATTCACACCTTGTCAGTAAATAGTCAGTGGGGCTAAGCACATCAATTGACATTTTTAACTTTGATTTTATAAATGCAACCTCAATTAAAAAGAACATTAATTTTGTAATGGGATTGGTTTAGCTAATAGGTAATTAGCATAAAGACAGCTATAACTATAGCTCACAGGCAACTTTAGAGGAGTGTATGTAGAATATCTACGGCTAATAAATTGGATCATCATAACAAAATGACATCACTGATAGGATTCAAACCTATGTGGGGAAACCCCAATGAATTCCCAATTTTGAAAAGCTGTAGGTTTCCTATTCATATAAAGCCAATGGTAGTTTAAGCTGTGAAAAATGGTGGAAGAAGGCATTTTTGAATATGTAGAACCTGGAGGCAGCAAATTGGCATTGCCTATTGTGGTTTTAAAAAACCTGATGCGGATTTTAGAATTTGTGGAGATTACAAAGTAGGCGTAAATCATAAGATTTGTTCGGATTCCTACCTTATTCTTAACATAGAAAACATACTACATTCTCTGGCAGGAATGAAATATTTTATGAAAATTGATTTAAAAGTGCATACCACCAAATTGAAATAGATGACAAATTTAAGGAAATCACAACAATAAACTCCCCCATAGGCTTACTTAGATGGTCCCACTTACCATTTGGATTTAAGACAGTCAGCTCAATTTTTCAAAAAGCTATGGAAAATTTGTTAGCAGAGAGAGTAGAAAATATGATAATTTATTAGGATGATATATGTTTAGGTGTGGCTATGAAGAAGAACTGAAACAAAAAACTAAATTTGTAACAGATAAGTTGAGGAAGGCAGTAATGACGATAAATGAAGATAAGTGTATATTTAATTGCAAAGAATTAACATTCTTTGGTTACCAAATTTCAGAAAATGGTACTTCATTGGACCAGATGTTAATACAAAAAATATTAAATGTATTTTCTCCAACTAATAAAAAAGAATTGGAATCACTTCTTGGATTAGCCAATTTTTATAGCAAATTCTTGTCAAAATATTCTGAAGGAATTGAAGCATTTTCTGATTTGTGAAAGAAGAATAATAAGTTTGAAATGACTACTACACACCAAACAGCCTTCATTAAATTAAAAGACACTATCTAAAAAAACCCATGGTCAAGATTTTTTACCCTAAAAAAGACATTACATTAACCACAGATGCGAGTGGTCAGTCTGTATCGGCAATTTTGTCCCAGGAAGGACACCCGGTGATGTATCTTTCCATGATATTGACACCAGTTGAATTGAACTACTCTAATATTGGAAAGGAAGCACTTGCAATTGTATGGAGTATGACCAGAGCAAGACAATTTTTATAAGGAAAAAAAATTTTTTTGTTGAGATACGATCATAAGCCCTTAGAATTTATATTCTATAGGAAGGAATTGCTGAATATTGCAACATCCAGAATATTAAGATGGGCTATGATGTAGAAAAAAGAAGAGAGAAAAACAAAAAAGTGATGAGAGGGTTTGCTGGCAAACCAGTTGTTCTTCTTCGCAGTCGGTCGCCTCAAAGAAATGAATTGTGAGACTCCTTTTCTCGGCCGTTACACCGGGCAGTTGTGAAATGGACACCCAAATCAAATGTGCCTATTTCAACTGCCTCTTGGTCTGTCAGTCTATTCGCATGTCCGACTCTGTTTCACGAAGTCCACTGAATGACCCGCTGTGCTGCTGGCACCTCGCCTTTTTATGCTAGTCCAACACTGCTGAAATTTGCATGTGTACTGGTACAATCTCGTTTTGGACGAGACCGGCACATATAAATCGCGTCTTCGACAGCGGCCATATTTCTTTTTGGATTTATCATGCAAGCAAGACATGTTCACACACGTTTCGAGCTCCGAGGTAAGTCATCACATATGAAGTTAATGGCTTTTAATTATGATATAGAATATGTAAAGGGACACACAATGCCACACATGGACATATTGTCCTGACTACAATTTGTAAAGGAACAAAAAAAAACATAAAAAAAGTTGAGGGTGAATTTTTGCATTGGAATAGACTAGTTATAGAGAAATGTTACAAGATGCAGTCTTAAGTCAAATTTTATCTAGAATAAGGAACAATAAATGGAGTAATTGTTCAAAAGCAGAAAGACTATACAAAGAAACCAGACACAAACTATCAATAGAAAATGGTCTAGTTTATAGTGGGGATTTAGTTGTACCACTGGAAAAATGTAGAAAAGAAGTAATTAAAAGTGTACATGATGATGTGCATTATATAACCACAGCACAAAAATGGTTAAAATTGGAATTGTGGTGGCCAGGACATGCCTGAGATATGGAGAATTATGTCCATAAATGTCCTAAATATGCTGAGATAAAGAATTTTCACCACAATAAATTACATTCTTGGCCTAAGGAAACAGAACCATGGTCTGGAGCTCATATGGATCACGCACCAATTAACAGGGTAGGTTTATGTCTAATATTGGTTGATGTTTTTTCTGCCTGGCCTGAAGTTTTCCGAGTTCAGGAAAAAAATCTATTACTGTAAAACAAATATTACGTAATAATATTTGCTAGAAATTTAGTACCAAAGATATTAGTAATTGATAATGTCTCTGAATTCTGTGATGAAAGTCTATGCTTGCGCTTAAGGAAGATTGGCTGTGTTCCATATAAAACACCTTACCACCCTCAATCAAATGGGATTACTGAATGAATGGTTCAAACAATAAAGATGGGATTGAAAGCATTTTCTTCTCAGCAAGAAAAGACTGAAACTTTCCTACTAAGATTATTGTTGAGTTACAGAATGATACCACATGATGACAGATTAGAGAGCCCGTCTGCATTATGAAAACATAAACAAAAGAAATAAAGAAAACGAGCTGGAAAAACAGATTTCATAATGCAAAAAGGATACAACATGGCATTAATATCTAAGAATAATAAAAATATTGTTGCTCATGCAGACCAGTTAAGAGCTAGCCAAAATTACGAGTAAATACAAAGCAAAGCTAGTGTAAATGACTATGTAGATGAACAAGAAAGCAGGGCAGAGGAATCAATGGACGATCATAGTTCTTTGGAAGATACAGAGTACGAAACATGGGACATTGAGAATAAAAGAACTAGATCAAAGTTCCACATGAAATACTTGTGAAACCAGTGAGATGGGGAGGCAATATAGGAGAAGCCGTAGATCCACATAGGGCGGGAAACCCAAAAGATTCCGGGAGATGTAATGAGATTGGTTTAGCTAGTAGGTAATTAGCATAAAGAGACCTATAACTCACAGGCAACTTTAGAGGAATGTACGTACAATATCTATGGCTACTAAGTTGGATCATTGTAACAAATTTATTATGTAAGAAATACTTAGAGGATGTCCTGATAAATATTGTGGAGTAAATAACACACCCCCGGTGACACAAATGAAGTAGGCAAGACGCCTTAAATAAAGAACACCAAGTGAATCAGGTAGCCTGTTGGAGTCAGTCAGGAGAACTTCTAACAGATGTTATGGCAAATAGTCTAAGCAAGATATAATATAACTGCTAGGAGTGAGATGTGGGATCAAAACTCATACGCAGTTGAAAATTAAAACTATGTTGGTTTAATTTTTCCCTTAGGTGTGTGTAAAAAAAAAAAAAAAAAAAAAAAAAAAAAAAAAAATCAAAAAGAATTATTAGCTCAAGTTGTAAAAATGCAACAACAACAGCAACAGTTTTTGGAACTCTAGAAACAACAAAATTTAATTGAAATACTAGAGAAGAAAACAGAAAATTCCCCAGGTTCTTTCACTCCTGATGTGATGACAAATGCTATAGCTGAATTCACATACAATTCAGATGATGGAATTACCTTTTCTGCTTATTTTAGAAGAAATGAGAAAATTTTCAGAGAAGAATGCAGCAACTGGGAAGATGAGAAAAAATGACTTTTGTTGAGAAAAAACTGGTAGAACATGAAAAATATTGAAATTTTGTACGATCAAAAAACAGGAGAAATTTGCTTTGAAGAAACAGTAAATATTCCAACTAAAATTTTTAGCAAAAAAAGCTTGTTATTAAATACTCGTTAGAAATGTATGAATGTGAAAGCTCCAAATTAAACGAATTGAATTTGGATATATTTAAAGGGTTAATTTTTGTTCAAGGGTTAACAGCAAAAAAAGATGCAGAAACACATGCGAGAATTTTAATGAAACTTGAACAGAATCAAAATCTAACACAACAAGAAATATCAGATGAATGTCAGAGAATCATAAATCTGAGATGTGGATGTGGAAGAAATTGAAGAAAAAAATGTCCATACATACAAGTTAAAGAAAAATATTGAAAAAGAGAAATGAATCCATGTTTCAGATGTGGAAGATTACATCTTGGAGATGACTGTCCATTTAAGAATTCAAAGTGCCACAAGTGTGGAAAAGTAGGACATGAAAAGTTACACTGTAAAACTAAAGCAAGGAAAAGTTCTCACAGAAAAAATTTTGTACACAATGTTGTGATGAAATAAATAATTACAGAAAACCAAAGAAAATTAGTGTATGGAAAAATTAATAAATTGGATGTAAAAATGTAACTAGACACTGGTAGTGATATCACAATAATCAATGAAGACACATGGAGAGAAAATGGAAAAACTTATATTAAAAAGAACTTTGAAAATCGCACATGGCATGTCAGGTGGAAAAT